GCACATAGCATAGTGCCTGCTCTTTGTGTGCTGTTCAGTCAGAACCAATCAAAGCTGACCCTCCAGTGGATTTTCAGAGGCAGTAAATCTCTTGGGAGGATACTGCCCATCTTTCTCCTGAGGAGCAGCTGGTGGATTTGAACCATAAGCCTTTGGGTTGACGTAACTTTTACCACTAAGCCACCAGCAGAATAGCCACCATTAATCTTTTTATTACTGTAACAGATTTGCAGTCTACTGAGAATTTTTAAGAAGGTACTAAAGTTCTGGCTACCCTACTGTTACTCCTCTTTGTATGTTCATTTTTCCTAAAAGAAAAAAAAAAAAATCAAAAAATCTTCACTCTTGCACATTGAGACTTGAAATTAAATTCTTTGCATCTTTCCCAGTTTGTATTATGTCAGCAAGAATGGGTATGAGTCAGGAACCAGAGATAAGAAACACTCCAAATACTTAATCACATTAAGCCTAGGTTCTAGCAATTTTACCTGAACAATTACAATAAAAAGAGATAAGCAATCTTGATTGTGCTTTAAGAAGTTCAAAATGAAGGGAGCTCTGGTGGCCTAGTGGCAAGACGCTGCACTGCAATCCCAGAGGTGGTTGTTGTTATGTGCCCTCGAGTTGTTTTCGACTCATAGCGACCCTATGCACAACAGCCCTAAACCCTGCTCTATCCTGTGCCAACCGCACTGCCTCTGACACACCCATCCCGACTGTGGAGCCGAGCAAACTGAAGCTGTGAACAATCTCAATCTCTTCGCCATCCATCCTGACGCTGCCAATTGGTCCAGTGGTGAGAATCTTTGTCTTCTTGACATTGAGCCTCGCAGTTCAAATCCACCAGATGCTCTGCTGGAGAAGGAGGGGGCAATCTCCTCTTGTACCAGTCAGATCTGATTTTGACGGTACACGTAAAAATAATACAATAAAAGGGAAAAAAGTTCAAAATGGCACCAAAGCAAATATAGAAACATTATGAAAAATTGTATTTAACAGAAATTTCCCAAACAGAACACTCTTACTCATGACTAACTTAAAAGATCTTCTAACTCACTGATCTGTAAAAAGATAACACTAGCTGGACAATGAATAAGGGTAGCAGAAGATTTGACCCTTTTGATCTGTGGTGCTGGAGAAGAGTACTGAATATCCCATGAACTGCCAAAAAAACAAACAAGTTTGTCTTGGACCAAGCTCAGCCAGGGTGCTAGAGGTTTCTGGCAACCCTACTGCTAGGCCTCTTCCTTTGTTCATTTCTGACCTTCAAGCAGGTCAGGAGATTCCAGTCCTTGGAAGAGGGTATCATGCTGGGAAAAGTGGAAAGTGGAGGATCAGAGAAAGGACTCCCACTAAGATGTACTGACACAATGACCATAATAAGGGACTCGAGCTTATTAGATCTGTTGCTGATACAACTAAGAGTTGTAGTTGACTCAGTGGCACCAAGAACAGTTTAATTTGTTAAATAATGGAATCCCTGAAAACTCATGTGACATTTTCTGTCAACACCTTCATCTGAGTCATAAGGACAGCTCAGACCACCCTCTCTTCCACAAACAGATAAATAAACATATTCACTCTCTCTTATACAAATGGGAAGGGGGGAAAAACAACCCACATAAATAAGCGATGTTTGGTTTTGTGAGGTGGGTTGTTTTTTTTTTAAGGAATACTGAAAGGCAGAGTAGCACAAAGAACAACATACTCTGGGGTTTCACATCTGTCACCTTTTACTATGTGATTTGAGACAAATCAAGAAATCTCTTTCAGTTTCCTAAATTCTACTCTCACTGGTGTTAGATCAGGGAGCTCTGGTGGCATAGACTGTATGAAGCTGCAATGCTGAGGGGAGTTAATCTATATAAAATATTGAGGCTGGTGGCTTAGTGCATAATGTATAGTGTGGCTTACAAAAAGTCCATAGTTTGAGTACACCAGCGGCTCAGACCCAAAGAAGGGTCACTAAGAGTGGCTATTGACTTGATGGCAGTGGGCTCTCTATAACATTAATGTGAACATGTATTAGCAGCTTAACATGGTAAAACTTCAATATTAAGATAGCAACTACTTTCATGTCCACTGTTGTAAATTTCATTAGCCTGAGACAGACAACACATTGCAAGTGTTCCTGTTTTAGATGCTGATGAATTAATTCAGATGCACAGTGATCTCCTGTGATAGAGCAGAATTTTCTAAACTTGAGGCAAGCAAATCACCAGTTCTTTCTCCTCTGAAGCTGCTGTGTCAGCTCAAATCAAACACCTTTTGATTAACTGATCCTATGCATCCCCAGGGCTCATTAAAGTGTTTCTCTAGTCTTTCCTAATTGAGACATTATACCAGAACAGTCTTCATACTAGGATTTACATGCTGTCAAATCATGCCTGTAATTAATTTCTGAAAAGAAACTTATCATTAAGACACAGCATTACATTCTTCCTCACTTTATAAATTAAGAAAAAAGCATCTATGCTAGCTCAAACACTTTTCTATTTATAATGTCAAATTAGAGGATATTTATACATGGTGTTAGTCCTTCCAACATTCACTGTCAAAAACAGCTTAACACAGTAAACAATATACCACTGGAAAGATTTCAACAAACTATAGCACAGAAGACGATAAAGATATATATGAAAATGTATAAACAAAATTTAGATTTGTATGGAAAAACATTTAAAACTTTTCTCTAGATATATAAATGGTTAGTCTGCAACATATCAGGTTGCTATCCAAAAAGTCAAAGGCTCAAATCAAACAGCCACTAAGCCTGGAAAAAGATGGGGACAGTCTCCTCCCATAAATTTACAGCCTTGGAAACAGAATGGAGGGCCTTCAATGGACAAGAGTGGAGTCATGTTTTAACTGCATAAACTTAGGAGACTTCCAGGAGAAGTGAAATAACAATGTAAAATATCAAACTTCACATCCTACTCACTGCCTTCTGTAGAAAAAATTTTATGGTCATAGATCAAACAGGAAGCCAAAAAGAAAATTTTGTGAAACCAGGGCATTTTCCCAGAGCAAGAGAAAGTGCCCAGAGTTGAGCTCTCAGACTTCAATCTTACTGCTAACATCAAACTCTCCTGATGACCTTCCCTTAAGTTATGAATTACAGGTGAGTTTCTACCAATTAAAAAGCAGCTTGCAACCTGTGCTTTGTAACACTCATGCTTTCTCTCATGCTGTAACAGCTTAAAACAAAACCCATTTCATGCATAGAGCACTAGGGTGGGGAGAAAAACAAACTTTTTTTAAGAAGAGAAAGAACAAAGAATTTCCAAGTATGAAAATCAATTCCCGGGAGATTTTTTTCAAAAAGGTGGTAGGTAATATTTTCCAAAATATCAAATATGTGCATCCTACTAAAAGTAGAACAATTCAATTCTATACACCCTAAACCCCAGATCAGTGGTGGATTACCCCAATGCATAAGGAAGACTGGAACTGACTTGGGCTTACTGGAATTAAAAAAAGAAAGAAAGAAAGAAAGAAAATTCTGTGAGAGTCTTCAAAATGAACAGTACCTTCCTCCAGAATCAAGAGTCTCTAATCCACATTTATAATCCCAGATCCTGAGAGAGGACCAGTGAATAATGAAAGCATGGACTGTCTTATCGTCTGTAGTCACTAGTTTCACACGCCTTGGCTACAGGTAAGTAAAAACCCACGTGAAATGTTTCTACAGACTGGTAGTAAACCCATGCAGAAGCCATCACTGGCCCTCCTGGGGAATCTGCAGTCTTACAAGCAGAGAGTACTGGAGGGCACTCCCTGGTCACACTGTTTTTAGGAGAAGCCTGGAAGGTGGCAGTGACATCCAAGGTGAAAATGTAGTTAGCAATCTGCAGTGATCCCGAATAACTAGGTTTAATTTATAAAACCTTAAGTCGGAATATGCTCCATGGCAATGGGCTGGGTTTTCGTTTTTCTACTTAAACACTTTTTAAAAAAGTGATCATATTCTTCATCCTCAATGCAAAGGATCCTTTCCAATTCCTGTTGTAAACAGTTAAATAATTCTAGCCAAACAAAACAAGAAACTCTGGTGAGGTACTGGAAAGGAATTGCACTGCCATTAGAAAAGTTCGAAGTTTGAATGCCCTAGCGGAGAAAGGCCGGGTCAATCTCCACTATTGATTTACTGCTTCTGAAAACTCACAGGAGAGCCAGTTGAACCAGTCGGTTCACTTCAAACATCCATATCATCGATTGCTTCTCAATCGATCTAAGTAGCTGCGCAGGAAAGCTAAATCCTGAGAGAGGGAGGGAAGGAAGATCTGTTTTGAAACAGGAACGTGTTCACCGTGCGCTTCATTCTCTTTGGGTGAAAGTTATAAACCAGTCTGTTTCTACGTGATGGCAAAGATCACTTTTAGAGATGTATAACCGATACCAAATTTGACTCACAAACATTTCTTCCTAACCCACAAATTAAATATTTCTTACCAATCAGCGGGATTGAAAGAAAGGTAAAGAAAGTCTGGCGGGTTTTTTTTTCTCTTGCATTCGGGGAAAAAAAGAGGTAAAACTAAGTTTGTCTTTTAAAAAAAAATAATAACTGGAACATAATCTCAACTCCAAGAGCATCTTAGGACCGGGAAGAAGATCAATCCTGCGTTGTCTCCCGGGCCAGAGCCAAGGTCCCTCCCTGGCCGTGGATGGGCCGCAGCAGCAAGGGCACCGGGCCACCGTCGGGTCTCCGGGCCCCAGGACCGAGCCAGGAGGGGGCGCTGCAGGCACCCGGCCTCTTTGTGGAGAGCTCGGCGCGGGGCCACGGTCCCCATTGGTTCCGCGGCTGGTCGAGGCCATGCGGGCCCCTTGTGCCTCCCCCAGCGCGCCGTCCCGGGCCGAGGCGCGGCCGCAAGTCCGGGACTGGCGCGGTCCCGCAGGGCGCGTCCCGCAGCGCCGCCCGCCGAAGCCAGCGCGACTAGGGGGTGGGCTTCTCTGCGAGCGCGGGCAGCTCAGTCCGCTGCCGTCCCGCCTCCCGCGCTCACCGCTTTGAGATCGAGGACGCCGTCCTTGGCCTCCTGCAGCAGCGACACGAACTTGGTGGTGAGCAGCCCCAGGCTCTTCTCGTGCCTGCTGCTGCCGCCCCCACCGCCCCCGAGCGGCTGCGGCTGCGGCGGGGGCTGCGGCTGGGACGGCTGCGGCTGCTGGCCCTGCCCGGGCTCTGGCGGCGCCTGCTGGCCGGAGCTGGCGGGCTCCGCCGCCGCCATCGCGTCCCCGCGCCGCGGTGCTCCGGCCCCCGCGCCCGGCCGCTCGCCGTCCCCACCCGCAGCCACAGGCCGCTCCCGCAGCCCCCTCTCCGAGTGCGGGCCGCACAGCCGTTGGCTCCTTCAAACAGGTGCGCGCGCCCACCGGACGGCCGCCCGCGGCGCGCCAAGCCTCCACCCTCCCCGAGCCCGGGAAGCGTGACTGAAGCCCACGACGGCGGGGAGGGGGAGTGGGAGCGCCAAGAGGGGGAAGCGAGGGGTGGGGACTGGAGTTTAAATGGCCGGAAGTGACGCCACCGCCCGCCGTCTCCTGGAGACGCATTTCTCATTGGGAAAGGGGAGCAAGCAGGGAGGGAGGGGAGAAGAAGGGAGGGAGAGAGGAGAGATGCCGGGAGGGAGGGGAGAAGCGGGGAAAGAGGGGAGCAAGCAGGGACTGAGGGACCTCCGCGAGTGTGTGCTTCACACTCAAAGGAATAGCATCTCACGCGGCGATTTGGAGAGAGGGAAAAGGAAAAAGAATACTTATTTTTGGGTAGAATATAAATATCTGACTATAAATTTCAATGCTGTGAATTTGGTGGGAGCGCTCTCGATTTCTAGAGATGGCCCTCATCAGTCATTTGTGTTCACTGCCCATTCACTGCTTTCTTCTGCCCATTCTCACACTTCACTTTTTAGAACTGAAAATAGTTTGCATGCTTTTCAACGACCTATACTTGGCGCAGGGCTCTACTCCACAAATAACGGGTGGTTTTTGGTTTTGTTTTGTTTTTTTTTCATTTCGAAACAGAAGGGCAGGATCATAGAGTTTTAGAGTAGTTTTGCCCTTACCCAAAATTATCTCCAAAGCGCATGCTTTTTATTATGTTAGGGGGTGAGGTGTAGGTAGCTGGCAGGCTTGTAATTCACCAAGACTCACCCCAGACCTTTTGTTCTTTGAAGAAAGGTGTTCTTCAAACCTTGCTGGAACCAAATTACATTGTATAAATTAGATTATTAGGGACAGGCTCTCTTGTTTCAGTAACGGATCATTGGTGGTAAATAACCCACAGGTTCTCAGTGGAATATAAAAAAATTTTTTTTCTTGTTAGATTGCTCACTCTTGCTAATCACGAGTCATGCAACAGTAATTAATCAAGAACATTTCCTCCAAGATTTTGCTTAAGTGAAAAATAAACAGGGGGAGGGAGTTACTAAAGAAATATGTGTTATGATGTGGATAACTGGGCAGCACCTAACAACAATACAAAGAAAAGTGAAGGAAGCTCTGATGGCCTCGTGGTAAAAAACGTGTGCTGTCAACGCTAGAGTGCACGGTTTGACTCCACCAGCTGCTCCACAGGACAAAGGTGGGCTTCCTCTTCCGTTGTGACATACTGCTTCTGAAAACACAGATAAGCCTCAGCTATGAGTGAGCTCTGACTCAATGGGTCATAACAACAACAAAGTGAGATGAAGCCTTTACTCGGAAAACTGGGCACACTATGCTGTTGTTGTGTGCCATTGAGTAAGATACCCATTCACAGCTGACCCCTTCAGTGGATTTTCAGAGGCTGTAAATCACAAGTCTACCTTGGAGCAGTTGGTGGTGACCTTTGGTTTGGCATCACAATTCCTTACCCAGGAGGCTGCCAGAACTCTCGAGAATACATTAGCTATGTAGTCACTGTATGTCATGCAGTGAGTTTTCAGAGCATTAAATCTCAGGAGAGGAGATTGTCCATCTTTGTCCCATGGAGCAGCTGGTGGATTTAAACCACATACTTCGTTGTTGGCAGTGCAGTTCCTGACTATTAAGCTATCAGAGCTCCCTACACCATCTATGGCCCATTTGTAGATATAACTTGAAGATGAGTAATCTCCTCCCATGCAATTTACAGTTTGGGAAAAACAGTCTGTTTTAACTGCGAAATGAGTTTGAGCTACAATCATATTAATAACCAAGAAGCCTTCATTTTAAGCAAATATGTAAATATATCTTAGCATTAAATACTTGAAGTAAAACACGGGAAATTCTGCCAGAACAAAACACATATAAACTATTTAAGCTGTTTGAGTATGATTTTTACAGTGTCATTTGGCCTTAGCAAGATCGAGTTTTGCAAATTAGTTTCATGTTGTTGACTAGTGTGTTTCTATTAGTTGAGTTGCTATGGTTGTGTGTCTTTGAGTCGACTGACTCGTAACTGAACCTCCAGCAGGTTTTCAGAGGCAGTGGAATCACACTGTAGGAGACTACCCATCTTCTCTTGTGGAGCAGCTGGTGGATTTGTACCATGTTCCTTCAGGTCGGCAGCTCAGCATCTTATCCACTAGGCTACCCTCATTGGATGGTGGCACAGTGACAGCAAGAAAGGGCTTGATAATGAGCAGAATTCAAGGATGGCACAGAACAGGGCAAGGTGCTTACCTGTTAATTACAGACATGGTGGCTCTGAGTTATCACGAACAATACTAGTGTTTCGTAAAGATATTTTCATTTAATAAAGAACATTCTACCATAGGTGCAGAGACAGGAATTGATATTAATATTTTTTTTTTAAATTTTACAGCAGAGATTGTGAGGACTGCACAGGGTTTCTGTTGTTTTAAGTCCTATGAGACTTTGTTGGTGGTGGTGATTACCATCGAGTTGAGCACGACTCATAGCGACCCTATGAACAAAAGGCCTGAAGCCCCTCTACAATTGTCGACATTTATCAAAGTTCACAGAGTTTCCGGAGGCATGTTGTTTAGGAAGTAGATGCCACTCATGCAGGTCCCTAATAACAACAAAGCCAATTATCTTGGTATGTGGGGGAATAATTGTTTCCCTTTTTAGCTTTCATTTTTAAAGATTTTCCTACCTTTAAAATAGATTACCCTCAAAATCCTTATGTCTGTTTGGGAGTTAAAAATCATTTTAACCCAAGCTTCCAAACCCTAGGGATCTTTGCTGGCCGAACCCATGGACAATTGCACGGCTAAGCTGAAGGCTGCAATTCAAACCCACCCTGTGGCTCAGTGGGAGAAAGACGCTCAGGCATCTCTCATGCAGTTTACAGTCTCAGAAACCCAACAGAGGGTCACCTATGAATTGATTCCAACTTGATGGCTAGGAAAGAGTCTCTAACTCTAGAGAGAAAATCACCTGTGGAGTTTCTTTAAAAATGGAAATTCTTAAGGAGCTCTGGTGGCCTAGTGGCAAGAAGCTGCACTGCAATCCCAGAGGTGGTTGTTATGTGCCATCGAGTCGTTTGCGACTCATAGCGACTCTATGTACAACAGCCCTAAACTCTGCTCTATCCTGCGCCAATCGCACTGCCTCTGACACACCCATCCCGATTATCCCAGTCACTGAATCAATCCATCTCATAGAGGGTCTTCTCCTCTTGCGCTGTCCCTCCACCCTCCCAAGCATGATGTCCCTCTCCAAGGACCTGTCCCTCTTTGCAACATGCCCAAAGTATGTCAGACGAAGCCCCAGAATCCTTGCCTCTGCGGTTCAAATCCACCAGATGCTCTGGAGAAGGAGGGCAATCTCCTCCTGTACCAGTCAGATCCGATTTGACAGTATACACACACACACACACACACACACACACACACATAATTAAATGAAACAAAACAAAAAAGCAGAAATTCTTGAATCAAAACCTTGGACATAGTGTCTGCATTTGATCTAAAGATTGGACCTTGGGGTCGGTATTTCCACAAAACACCCTGGTTGTAGAGTAGGAACTAACTCACAGCTGACCCTCCAGCATTTTTGCAGGTTGTAAATTTCCCTGGAGGGGATGGCCAGTCTTTCTTACTTTCTCAAAGCTGTTGGTGAATTTGAACTGCAAGCGAGATTCCACCTTTTGGTAATAGTGCTACCTCCTATAGCCAGTGCCGTCAGAGGTTTCTCAATAACACAGTAGTTAAATATTTAAGAATTATGGTTAAGATCCCTTTGAACTTTCGTCACTCAGGACTTCTTCCTCTTGTTAGGTGCCATTGAGTCAAGTATGACTAATAGCTTTCCGATGAACAACAGGTATGAACCCTCCCCTATGCTGAGCCATCCTCATACTTCCTGGCACCCTAGAGCCCATTGCTGCAGTCACTGGGTCAATCCACCTGGTTTAGGGTCTTCCTATCTTCATCATCCCTCCACCTTCCCAGCATGATACCCTTCTCCAAGGAACAGCCTTTCTTAGCAACATGCCCAATGTATGTAGGATAAAAGCTTTATCACCTTTGCCTCCAAGGAGCACGCTGAGTGAAACTTCTCCAAGATAGATCAGTTTGTTCTTTCTGGCAGTCCATGGGATGTTCAATACTCTTCTCCAACACCAGAGTTCAACGGCATCATTTCTTCTGTCATCCTTATTCATTGTTGTGGTGTTAAGGTATTATTCAAAATTACTTTCCTAGCCATTGAGTTTTGACTTTGCTGAGGATGGAAATAAGTGAATAGGGTGTATCTGCCTATCCACAAGGGGATTGGCCAGTCTCGTCACTCCACAAGAGGATTGGCTAGTCCTGCCATTCAACTGAGTGGATCTACCAGCACAATTTGAGAGTCTCACTGCCAGCAAAGAAGGAGGCACAGAACGCATGTGTTTGAGGCCCGAGATTCTTGCACCAGCTAACCTTACAGGAGCAGAAGCACTGGCCAAAACAGAGGACCAGAGACCCAACAAGAGATGGAGCTGGCCTTGGGACTGCCACCCCTCAAAGAACAAGAGATAACAGCCTTTGCCCAAGTTTGTTGGAGGACAAGTAGGAGGACTCAGGAGGGAATGTCACAATTGACAGGAGTGAGAGCTTTTGTAACACTGGCCTAAAGCCTTGAGGCTTAAGGCTGAGGTGCCCATGAGCACATTTCAGAAGCTGCCCTGATTGAGTGAATGTATACTGCTAATAATCTGAATTATAGCTTATAGCTTTTTACTTCCCCAATATGGTTCTGTGTGATCTGTGAGCTATCACATCTGAGAGCTGGACAATGAATATGGATGACAGAACAATTGATGCCT